AAGTAATTGTGGTGGTAGGTTTTTAAGAATATTAATAATATCTTTAATATCAGTTTTTAATTCTTTTAATTCTTTTTTAACATTTTCATAATTAGTTTTTAATTTTTCATTTTCTTTAGCTAAAGTATTACGTTGATTTGTAGTATTAGTTAATTCAGTATTTAAATTTGTAATATCAAGTTGCAATTTAATACTATCTTTTTTAAGTGTTTCCAATTCTTCAGTATCGGTTTTAAGTTTATCTAACAGTATTTTTTGTTGATCATACATTGTTCGTAACCTTGTATTTTCAGTTTGTAATTCTATAATTTTAGCATCTTTTTCTTTGAGTTTGTTTCAAGATCATTGATTTCAATTTTATGTTTTTTTTCTAATTGTTCGATGGTTTCTTCAAGTTGTTTCGTTTTTTTCTTTTCTTTTTTGAGTAATTCTTTAGTTTTTTATTTCTTCTTCTAATTTTTTTTGAGTTTCACCGTGTAGTTTTTTTTCTTGTTCATATTTTTGTTTCATATCTTCGTATTCTTTTTTAGCTTTTTCTGTTTCTAATTTAGCTTTTTCATAAAGTGTTTTTAGATTATTAATGTTTTGTAAAAGTTGTCTAGAATTATTTTGATATTGGCCAGTACGTCTATAATCCCAGACAGCATTATTGTATTGTTGTCTGTAAGATATGAGCGTATTGTACCAACCGGTCCAAGCAGCTAATAATAAACAAAGAACCATCTTTAAGTTAACTAAAAAAAAAATTACGTTTTTATTGTTATTTAAATATATTATTTATATTTTTATTTTAATAATTTATATTATTATTTTAAAATTAAATATTTAAACTCTGAGATATTAAAAAAAAAATAAAAAAAAAATAAATATGGCTGATTCTGATTCTCAAAAAACACAAACACCTGATTATGAAATTCAAAAAGCACAATTATCCGGTAAATTGAGATGTATACAACAATTATTAAAAGATAAAACCGATCAAAACACACAATTACAAACAAATTATAATGCTCTTCTTGAAAAAATAACTGATTTGACACCTACAATAAACGCTGCTATAAAAAAATCAATAGAAGATTCACGACCTTTATTTGAAGAAGCTTTAAAAAAAATTTTATCGGAAAATTTAAATAATGAAATTAATGAACTTAAAGATATCATAAATAAAATTGATAACGAAAAATTAAAAAAACCGATTAACAAAAAAGCAGAATCAATAGAAAAAAAAAATCGATAACATTAAATTCCCAGAATTACCTAAACCACATGATATTGATTTAACTGACGTTTTAAAAGAAGCACAAGGAACAATATGAATGATGATAAAGAAAATTTAAGAGAATTACACAATGAATTAATGAGAATTAGAGGTATTTTTGAAGAACAAAGAAAAGAAATAAAAATTAAAACAGATATGATAAACTTATTAACACAAAACACAGTTGATTACGTAGAATTTAAAAATAAAAAAAAATTTTATTTATATTAGAAATAGTTATGTTCAAGAGGTGTTAGCGTTTTTTCTTTTTTTTATTTTATTTTATTATTTTAAAATATTTATATCGTGTTATTGATATTATTATTATTTTATTTATATTTATT